CATGGCAACGTAAGGACCATCTTATGCAGCATGATCGGCCCCTCAGCACCATCATGCCTAGTTCGTATTCGACGATGGCAATGTAAGGACCATGGCAACGTAAGGACCATCTTATACAACATGATCGGCCCCTCAGCGCCATCGTGTCTAGTTCGTATTCGATGATGGCAATGTAAGGACCATGGCAACGTAAGGACCATCTTATACAGCACGATCGGCCCCTCAGCACCATCGTTTCTAGTTCGTATTCGACAATGGCAATGTAAGGACCATGGCAATGACCATGGCAACGTAAGGATCATCCTTATGCAGCACGATCAGCCCCTCAGCGCCATCATGTCTAGTTCGTATTCGACGATGGCAATGTAAGGACCACACCAATGACCATGGCAACGTAAGGACCATCTTATACAGCATGATCGACCCCTCAACACCATCGTGTCTAGTTCGTATTCGACGATGGCAATGTAAGGACCATGGCAATGACCATGGCAACGTAAGGACCATCTTATACAACACGATCGGCCCCTCAGCGCCATCGTGTCTAGTTCGTATTCGACGATGGCAATGTAAGGACCATGGCAATGACCATGGCAACGTAAGGACCATCTTATACAGCACGATCGGCCCCTCAGCACCATCGTGTCTAGTTCATATTCGACTATGGCAATGTAAGGACCATGACAATGACCATGGCAACGTAAGGATCATCCTTATGCAGCACAATCGACCACTCTGCACCATCGTAACTAGTTCGTATTCGACGACGGCAATGTAAGGATCATGTCAATGACCATGGCAACGTAAGTCTATATCACAACAAGGACCACTTTTATGCAGCACAAACGGGCTCCACAGCACCGTCGTGCCTGGCTCTCGGTCGGGCTCGTTCATCGTTGATCTAGGATGGCGACCGCCGCTTTATGCAGCACGAACGGCTGGCTCTTCAGCGTCGTCGTGCCTTCTTTTTTATTGGGCTTGTCGATCCTTAATATAGGATGGCGACCGCCACTTTATGCAGCACGAGCGGCTGGCTCTTCAGCACCGTCGTGTCTTCTTCTCGGTCGGGTCCGCCCATGCCATTAAGGGTCGGGACCGCCGCTTTATGCAGCACGAACGGCTGGCTCTTCAGCGCCGTCGTGCCTAGTGTGGGGATTGCACCTCACCCGCCACTTATGCATGCCTTGCATCTGAGACTATTCGAAGATGCCAATTCAGGGAAGGCAAGGAGGGATGTGAGCAAGAGTATACTTTCTCGAGTAAATTCACAGGCTCACTACTCAAGAAACTGGGGGACTTGTGTGGGGGAATTTTATCTCGACCAACTACTGTTCAGAGGCCCAAGGCATCGCCCCAGTACGGAACCCAGATGGTGAGGCCCATTTAGGCCCTTCGGGCCCATTGAGAGCCATTTAGGCCCATTCGGCCTGCCCGGCCCATATCGGTCCGATAAGGCCATCCGGCCCATTAGGCTAGGAAGCCCACATCCCCCCTTCTATAAATAGGAAGTTTAGCTTCCATTGTAGAGGGCTTTTTGGCCTCTTCCCTCCTGGAGAGCTTCTCTGCTCCCCCTGCAACTCTTTAGATAGCTACAAACTTCATTAATGGAGGTTTCAACATTTGTATATGTATTTTGGTGAGGAGAGTATTAATGAGAAAGAGAGGGCTTGGACGTTAGCCTAAAAAGTCTCGTAGTTTTCTCCCTTTCCGGGTTCCACGTAAAAATAGAGCATTTCATACATATTTATATCTATATTTAATAGTTTATGTTGGACTAAACTCAACAACAGTGAATAGCGTCCGACCAGGGAAGAGGGTGTTGTTGAGGTTCGTTCAGTAATAATCGACTAACCTCAGGCATTAGACTACGTCCGACCGGGGAAGAGAAGATGGAAGCGAAAAAGCGTACGACCGTCTGGCTGAGAGATGAGAGACGAGAGATGGTAGATCGGATGAATTGGACCGAATCAAACACGTTGGGCCAAGTGTTTGGATCTACATTTTTCAAAGGGAAATCGCACTTTTAGTCCCAGAAATAGTAACCATATTGAAATGTCAGACCCGTATTTTCAAGATTGTAAATGTCATCCCTAAATTGTCCAAATTACTGTAAATGTGGTTGATAGAGTATATAGACTCGGACCCCCAGGTCTCACGACTATTGGGCCCGGACAGCGGCCCACACACGTCTTACGGATGTCATTTGTATTATTGTACTTTTAATATATCATTTGTATGTACTAGATTAGTCTTTTATGTAGTTGGGCTACCGGGCCCATATTAGCGGCCCGACCCGTTATTCCTCTATTTATACTCCTTTTGGAGCTTGTAAACCCTAGCTCTCAATTCATTATCATTCTATTATTCATCTTCTCCACAACACTTGAGCTCAAATCTCTACATTTTATTATAGTTTGGATACCTATAATCCATCAATGGTGCTTTCATTGAGAGGTTGAACACAATCAAGTGAGAAAACCTCCCAAAACGTTCAAAAAATCATCCAAATCACAAAGAATCAACAAGAAACTATTCTGGAAAATTCAGAGAAGGAAAAAGAAATCTGGATTTTTCCAGATCTGAGGCATTCCCGGCCAGATCGGAACTGACCGGTAAACAGGAGCAGCTCGCAATCAGGAGAGGAACCAGATCCGACTCATTCCAGCAACAAGCAGCTCGCTCCTCATCCTCCGGCGTGGCACCGCCTCCTGCCGCCCTTGCTCGTTCACCAGCCACATGTCTCTCTAGCTTCACGAACTATGTCCGCCATTAATGAGCCGCGTGTGAGAAGCTCCTGGTCAAGGAGCCTACTGGTCAAGGAGGCCCCAAGTTTAGCTCCGTCGCGAGGAGAGCTCGTAGTTGCAACCAGGGATCTTCTACACCCCATGCTGACGACGACAACGTTTGAGGACCTGTCTATTTTCTCCCCTCTCCAGCCGGCAGCGACGACCTCGTTTTTCGCCCTTTCTGACGGCGACAGTAGGTAACGAGCGGCCAGCTGCGACCAGGTCCGCGCCCCCACCCTTTCCGGCGGCAGCAATGAGGACAACTGGTTCCGCCGTGTGAGTTGTGACATGCCCGCATCATTTGCAGCTGGGGCGAGGACTTCAGTTGACTGGGTCAACCATTAAAAGTCCCGCTGGAGATTTGGGTTAGAGGTAAGCAGTGGGCCGGACCATGTATGCTCCAACTTAATAATTCAATGGGCCTCAATTTCAGCAACACAGTCAGCCCATTAATTTTAGCCCACTTCAAAAAGATAAGTATTCTTTAATTTTCATATTTATTATATTTTATTTAAATCATTTCTTATTGTCGGGTAAATGTCACACTATCACGCAATTATGATCAAATGCCTAGTAGACTGTGGCTTGAGACCCATCACTAGGATTTAAAGCCCTGACCATGATCAGGCACAAAGCCCTGACCCAGATCAGGCACAAAGCCCTGACCCAGCTCAGGCACAAAGCCCTGACCCAGCTCAGGCACAAAGCCCTGACCCAGCTCAGGCACAAAGCCCTGACCCAGCTCAGGCACAAAGCCCCGACCAAGTCAGGCACAAAGCCCCGACCAAGTCGGGCACAAATGGCTCACATGTCCATTCTACTAAGTATTTTATCATTACATCAACAATTCACATTTCCACTCTTTTAGAGTGACGAACTCCCGATCGGAAACATAAACCCCAAGGGAAAAAAATTTATATATATCTTAAATGTGTAGGTACGAAGGTGACTCTACTCATTTTCACCTCGTCTCCACTCGCCTCAAGGAGTCGGGGACCGGGGGACTGAGAGGTCAGAGTTTCTAAATGAGCAGAAAATATCACGCATGAGCAGGAACGAAAGCTGAGTTAGATGAATAGGAGCTGAGCTAGACAAAATTGATCATGCCGGAGGGAACTTACCTTCCTTGTTTTATGTTGGGGGCGCTAGGTGTACTCTTTTTCCCTTTATTAGGATTTTTTTCCACTGGGTTTTTTCCTGGTAAAGGTTTTTAACGAGGCACCTCCCCATCATGGACAAGGATGGTGGTCCCCCGGCCGAAGACGAAGAAATCAAAGACAGAAGAACGGTGCAGATACAGTTTGGACTACTCCCTTTCGCCTCGAGTACTCTCGACTCAGGGAGTGGGGGACTCCTGATAGAGTATATAGACTCGGACCCCCAGGTCTCACGACTATTGGGCCCGGACAGCGGCCCACACACGTCTTACGGATGTCATTTGTATTATTGTACTTTTAATATATCATTTGTATGTACTAGATTAGTCTTTTATGTAGTTGGGCTACCGGGCCCATATTAGCGGCCCGGCCCGTTATTCCTCTGTTTATACTCCTTTTGGAGCTTGTAAACCCTAGCTCTCAATTCATTATCATTCTATTATTCATCTTCTCCACAACACTTGAGCTCAAATCTCTACATTTTATTATAGTTTGGATACCTATAATCCATCAATGGTCCTTTGAGGGGTGAAATGTACAAAGTGAGTACATTTCACCCCTCAAAGGACCACATTTACAGTAATTTGGACAATTTAGGGGTGACATTTACAATCTTGAAAATACGGGTCTGACATTTCAATATGATGACTATTTCAAGGACTAAAAATGTTTCCCCCATTTTCAAAACTGTTTCAAAGAGCAAAAACCAATATTGAAATGTTTGGATGAAAATGCATAAATACTTACTAGACTCTCACCCGTGATGCACGGGGCAAAGATTCAATAAAATAATACCCCCTCCGTCCCATTGGACTTTACCAACTTTTCTTTTTTTGTTGTCCCAAAAAACTTTACCATTTTCCTATTAAAGCAACTAATTTATGGTTCTGCATATCTCAATCACATCATTTTTACTATTCTTATTTATCACATACTTTGCACTCGTTAAAATCCACCTGAGGTAGTATCTCATTATTTATTTATTATACTCCGTACTCCAGTACTCCGTAGTGTATAACAAATGAAAACAAGTCACAAAGGATTATAAACTTGAGGTTGAGGTGTTGGGGGCCTCGTATGGGGTGTCAATCCTTTTGTATACAAACTTGAGGTGATCTTTTTGTTTGCTTCGATTGCATTATTCCGCTGATACGGGTTCTAATTCGGGTTGAAGCCACTAAGATATGCAGAATTAAGAGCCTGACACATACGGGAATGGCGCTTCCACCGGTTCTTTCTTTGGCTCTCCCATCACAAACTGGCCGCGTGCTTAGCATTCAGTCTCACACGGTTCAGGTACTCCTTTCCTATTAGGAATTCTTTTGATCTTGGGGTTTGATGTATTATAGTCCAACAAGCACAAAAAATTAGTTTTTTGAAAAGTAATTTTTGGCACAATAGCTTTTAGTTACATCTTATGGATTATTATGTCAAATGTGGAAAGTGGTTGGATCTGCTGATTTTTATGAAAGGAGAATAGTTTGGTAAACCCATTAACTTGAGTAAGTAAAAACATGCTTATTTTTTATTCTTCTTATTGTTATTGTAATAATCAAAGTAAGCTACTTTATGCTACTAATCAGAGTATTAACAGACTAAGGGGTGTTTGGAACTGATTCTGCTTCTTTTTTTAAGGCAGAAGCAGAATCAGAATCAGTTTTCAGAAGCTGGTACCCCCAGCTTCTAAAAAAACTGATTCTAGGAGTAAATTAGAGCACCAGAATCACTTCTGCATTTTCACCCAAACACTCCAACTTCTGCTTCTGCTCCCTGAAGGAGCAGAAGCAGTTTTAAGAATTAGATCCAAACACCCTCTAAGAATTTAAGAAGAGTCAGGGGCGGGGCCAGGATCTCATCATAGGGGCCAAAAATGAATGCAAGCAATCAAACGTATAAAAAAATATAGAAACGCACGTACATTATTAGAATTGTAGGTTGGCTGATTTAAATCCTTTGAGACTTTCTAGGACGATTCAGAATCATTTTTATGACATGTTTAGATAATGCTTAGGAAAGGATAACTAATGCTAAAAATGGCTTTTTTGTGTTTGGTCTTGCATCACACAATTAAAAGGAAATTAAGTATGATTAATATTTTTAATTTTATTTGCATATATTCAGATATATTACTCTAATTATACAAATCAACATATAAGATGAATTTCATCTCATGTCAAAGTCAATTTATTATATTTGATTAAAAAAATATCCCACATATATATATATCCACCCTATTTTCTTCTCTAATACTCCATATATTTTAAGCTCAAAACAAAGTGTTATAGATTGAGTTTTATATCTACATCAAAATGAATAAATGAATAAATTTAAGATTATATATCTATCAATAATTCATAAGTATATTAACATTTAACTACTTGTACATAGAATTTTAATCCCTAAATACCAAAAAACCTTTTGTATAATTACTAATAGTATACAAAAATTAAAATGTTGGGGGGGGGGGGGGTCAAGGCCCACCTACCCTTGGACTTACATCCACCCCTGAGAAGAGTATAGTTCTAGCAGATGTACTGCACGTTTGGTAGGCCTAAGTCCCTACCTTCTAGCTTTTGACTATTTAAAAAGTCTTTAAAATCTTCTAGTTGGATGTTTGGCACAACAACTTTTAAGAGTTCTTTTTTAAAAATAAAAGATCGTTTTTAGAAGCTACACTGAGTAGTTTATGAGAGAAGTCTATAGCTTTTAGTCACAAAAGGTTGTTACACCAAACAGAACTAAATCAAACCATTAGTTTTTTATCAAATAGCTACAATCTTTTTTTAAGATCTCTTCCGTCAATAAAAACTAACACTTAACTAAAAATCTACAAAGTTATCTTTTCAACTAGTCGTGCCAAACGTACTCGTAATGAGATTTTGACATGTGTATATCTTATAGAGAAGGCTGATGCAATATTTCAGTGCTAGTGAATCAAGAATGATATTGAATGTAACATGCTATTGTATCTATTCATCTGTATGTAGCTCTCTCTCAGTATATATGATCTTGCATGTATAATAAGAAAACATACTCTTGAAGATAATGTTCCCGGAAACAGTCTCTCTGTGCTTTAGTACAGCGGTAAGACTGCGTACATCCGACCCCCCTTACCCCACCGTAGGTGGGAGCCTTTGCGGCACTGGGGTAATGATAATGATGATGACTCTTGAAGATAATGTTCGCCATATAGAAATAGTTGTAAATATGCCTTTTAAACTTTTTCAATTCTCTGTTTAGGGGTACGTGGGAAACAAGTCAGCAGTGTTTCCTCTGCAATTGCTGGGCTATGATGTGGACCCCATCAATTCCGTGCAATTTTCAAACCACACAGGCAATGAACTTTTATAAATTATTGATAGATCACTGGAATCTGCAGAGCAATTAATAAAAGAAACACAGAGAAATGAAAGAAATAGATCGTAATGGCTTTATTCCTCCAACTGAACAGATCACAGGGATACAGTGCTCAGAGGCTTATTCGAGATGCCCAGTCTCCAAATTCTTACCAGTTACCCAACAGAAAATACAGTCTGCCCAGAAATAGAAACTAGGTTACTATTTATAGTCACGTGTCCACGCAGGGACAAAATAGCGTAACAAACTAATTGGCTAATTAATAGCTACCCTCCCCTTCCTCCTTGTGTATACTTTATTATAATATTTAATCGGTGGCTGAGTTGGATGTCTATCAATTATAGTCTGATGCCTGAAATGTGTTGTGTCCCTATTTGAAGATCCCTTCTGTTTAGGTGTGAAATCATCTGAAAGACTAACTTCTGTTATCATGTCATGATCAACCTGAAAGGCAGGGTACCCAACTTTTAAGGGTCAGGTTTTGAATGGAGAACAACTATGGGACTTAATTGAAGGTCTTGAAGCGAATAAGTTGTTATACTACACTCATTTATTAACAGGTATATTTATTCAATGTGAAACTTTATTGCTTGGTAACTATTTATTGGTTGCATTGTACATATTTTGCTCAACCATATCCCACAATAGTATTGAGGATATTAGTTTCAGGGATCGATTTTGTTGACATGCTCACATGTCAGTCTGGTTTTTGTGATTAAGTTCTATCTGCTCCCAGACAAATAGTCGCAGTAATATATTAGTCACATTATAATTTTAGACTTTTTAGTGTATATTTGGAATTACCTACTCCACAATGCCCAGTGTGGCATATGTGACTCTTATAGTCTACAAGTACTAGGCAATATGTGGGGGAATATAACTTATTGGACTGAAGTTATGACCACTTTTCCCTTTCAACTGCCCCCATTTTATCTAAATCACACATATTAAGAAATTTGCATAAATGTTTGAAGTTCATCATAACTTATCGTACTAAATTTACCCTTATGAACAAACTAAAATTTAAAATAAATATATATTAAATTTTATTGCATGTTATTAATGTGATCCGTATTTAGTGTTAAAGAGTTAAGTGTAAAATAGGGTAAACATAATCAATGCTTCATAAATTCCCTAAATGCACAGATAAAAAAGATCTCCAAAAAGCTCAAAGAATTGATTGATAAACAGGACCGGACTAATTTTTTGGAAGACAAATAGCGTAGGAGAATGGTGGCTTTAGTGCTCATTAAGACATGATTGTTACTTCTACCCATTTATTCTGCCCCAATAGATTGGAAGTAAGGTCTAACTCAAGAAAAATGCAGTGAGAGAGATACAATCATAACTTCAGATTGCTTCTGTGTCTATATTGTTGTTTGTTTGAATATAGTTCACAAACCTTGTTGTTATTCATGCTCCATATGAATTCAACTTCAATATTTATTTTATCGTTATATCATTATATGCAACTGTCTTTGGATTACTATTGCTAACATCAACTACTAATTTTGAGAATGTGTGTATTAGGTTATATCGGTTCTATTTCCTTTTTGGAAAAGGTTCTGCAAGTTGTTGATAAGCTGCGTACAATTAACCCTGACCTCACATATGGTAAGAGCAGAATACTATCCTGGCCATGCAGTGGCGTGCCAAGAATTTTTTCCAGAGAGTACACTGTTTACCATTATATTTATAGATAACTAAAATATATCCGTGAAATACAAAAACAAAGTAAATATTCAAATTTAAAATATATGCTCCTTAGTCCTTACCTCCTTGGCAATATGTCTAAAATAGGGGGTCTGTATTTCTCTGTACAAGTGTAAGTAATTTTTTCATAACTATTCATATAATTTAATAAATTATTTCAAGTTGAGGGGGGACCTGCCACTTCTACCGAGGTATGGTAACATACATGTGCAGTGTTTGTTTCATTTCAGTTTTATTTCCTGTGTAGAAGAAGTTTCTTGTTCTATGGAGCTACAAGTATGAAATCCTATGACTGTAGTGTGTTAATGACAATAATCCTAAGTTGCATATACATGTCCATCTCTGCTTTCTTTATGATTGTGTTTCTTTTGTCAGTATGTGACCCTGTGATGGGTGATGATGCGAAGCTATATATTCCACTGGAACTGGTGTCCGTGTATCGCGAGAAGGTAACCACCTAACCATTGTCCTGTATATATCAGACTGATTTTTTGTTAAGTTGTTATGTGCGGCCCGGAGGTCACGGGTTCAAGTATTGGGAACAGCCTCTTGTCAAAATGACAATGGAATGTGCACCGGGCTGCCCTTTTTTTCTGTTGACTATTTGTTACTATTGAAATTTGAATTTATAAACTGTTACAAGCAAATATGCAATTTACTGTTCTGTAGCTATATTATAACACCCTGGTTATTCTTCTTCTTGAAAGGTTGTCCCTGTTGCTTCAATGCTGACTCCCAATCAGTTTGAAGCTGAGCTGTTGACTGGGTTGAGGTAATCATTGCATGTGACTTCATTTCAATCTTGTGAGGAAATTATATTCTTTTGTTTCACCTTAATCTATTTCTGTGCATGGACCATACTATAAAGCATTAACTATACAAAGGTTTCTTTGTTTTGTTTTTCCCTTTTCCATCCCATTCACATTTTTTTCCTTTTCATTCAACATATTTTGGTCATACACCATTGGAGCAAGTGACTTATGAACACTTCATATTTTCTCTTTTTTGTTCCTTTTTGGGTTTAAATTGCATCTGAATGTAATAGTGTAATGACTCAAATTGCTTTTGTTTCACTTAGTATCACATCTGAACAAGATGGGCAGGAAGCTTGTAACATTCTTCATGCTGCTGGACCATCAAAGGTTCCACTAAATAACTAAATCTTGAACTTTTCCATGCTCTGTTATATTCACTCTTGGCATGAATTGCCCCTCCTCTCTCTTGGTTGTATTATGGAAGACTTCATTTCCCCCTTTTTGGGTGTCACTATATGTCTATATCTAATGTTAATGATTGTTGTGTGTGCATATGAAACAAATTTAAGGGAACTATTTTTCAGGTTGTAATCACTAGCATAAACATAGATGGGAACCTTCTTCTCATTGGCAGTCACCGGAAAGAAAAGGTAAATACTACGACATCCTCAACAAAACTGACAAAGGACAATCATTTAATGAAGTAGAAAGGCCAGCCCGGTGGCCAGTGCACATTGGCGTCCCCACAAGGCGAAGGTCTGGGGAAGGGTTCCACCATAAAGGTGCATAATGAGCAAGTCTTCTCTTGTCATTTTGACAAGAGGCTGCTCCCAAAATCATTTTACGGAGTACAATAATGAAAATAAATATTTTACTTTGTTTAGGGTATAGATCATGAAAGCTATATCTTTCTGTGCACCTCTATTTTCTTTTACAGTAATGATTATGTGACCTATTGTTGGAACCATTTAGAAAATCTCTTGCACGATGACAGGGTCAACCTCCTAAACAATTCAAGATTGTGATACCCAAAATTCCTGCATATTTCACTGTATGTATCTCACTTACTTCAGAATATCATGTTTTCTGTTCCCCATAAAGAATTATAAATCTACACCTCTGATAGAAAATTTGATCCTTGAAGGTAGGCAATTACAATTCGGCAAGTGCATTTTATTATTCTATATACAGGCTGGGCTCAATTCTTGTACACTTTATTATGATTGCAGGGAACAGGAGACCTTACAACGTCATTGTTACTTGGATGGAGCAATGTAATGATTGCTCAAAACACTGTTTTTAACTGTTTCCAATAATAATGTTTCATCTGATAATTTCTATAATGTCATTGTTACAAAATAATGGTTTTAATCATGTTCAGAGATACCCTGATGACCTTGACAAGGCAGCAGAACTAGCAGTATCAAGCTTGCAGGTATTTCTTTTATGTAGTTAATAATTATTTAATTGCTCGTATACTTCCATTTGATGAGATACCGTGAACCTAGAGTAGGCGGTTTACGTGTGCTATTTATTTACATGTAATAGTAACACACAAGTTTTTTATTACATAGATGTAGACATGCAATTTACATGTAATAGTAATACACAAGTTTTTTATTACATGGATGTAGACATGCAAACCCCTTAATTTTAGAATATCACTATATATTATACTGTGATGTGTGCTTTAACTTACTTGCCATAACCACTCCTGTAAACCAGGCACTTCTTGCTAGGACATTGGCAGACTATCAAAGGGCGGGGTATGACTGCAAATCGAGCAGTTTGGAAATTAGATTGGTACAGAGTCAAGATGACATTCGCAACCCCGAAGTCAAATACAAGGCCAAGCGATATGATTGACTAATTCCTCTGCCTCTGCTTCCTGTTGTTGCTTTACTGTTGTTTTCTTTACCGAGCAGTTTGGAAATTAGATTGGTACAGAGTCAAGATGACATTCGCAACCCCAAAGGCAAATACAAGGCCAAGTGATATGATTGACTTATTTCTCTGCCTCTGCTTCCTATTGTTACTCTACTGTTATTTTCCTTACCGTGACCCAATTTTTTACTTGCACAATATAGCGAAATGGTGTCAGTTCCTTTTCTGTGCTCATTATGGTCTGAATCACAGAAGTTCAAAAGTCTCCAAAGAGAAGCAAGATGACTCTATTGGCAGTACGCATGAAGCTTCTTTGGCTACAGCCTACAGGCCACAGGGGAACCCATCTCTAGGACTCTAGCCACATAAACAGTACTCGATGAGAACCAGAGACTGGTCTCTGACTGACAATGGGGCCGTTTGTTTCTTGGCGGTTTCAGCCAAAACGCTGCAAAAAGCAGCGGTTTCTCTTTGTAAATAAATGGCGGTTTGGCCTAAGCCGCTGATATCCAAACGGGGCCAATGAGTCAATTATTTAACTATATTATCAATTTACTATTTGTACTATTTTCTTGATTCGGTAGTTCTCTCAAGTAACTACAGGCTGTTCATTAGCCAATAAATGCTCCATATGAGACTTTAGGTTGTTTGTAGTTGAGGATTAGTTGGGTCTGTTCTTGATTGGTTTCAAATTTGCACACATTTTAGTGGTTGATTATTTGTGCTTCTAATCCTCATTTACCTCCAATTTGGTAAATTTGGTTGTGGGTGAATTTGGTGACACTCCAAAACGAAATTAAGGTTTTGTTTGGTCGAGGAATTTGGAGGATTAGAGGAATAGAGGATAGGAAACTTGTCTTAATTTACGAGTTTTACAGTACAAACTGACTTACCAAGTACTCCGTATATGATTGATTTAATAATTTATTTCTACTTATTTTTTTAAAATAAAAATCAATTATGGATAAAAATAACAAGAACAAAGACAAATCATATAGCTCAAACTTACAAGTTACAATTGGATAAGAAATAGAAACGAATGATCCAATTGATTGTTTCTGTTATGACAAAAGCAATCACTAAGGGCTCGTTCGGTATAGTTTTGAGTTTTCTATTTTTGGTTTTTAAAAAACAAAAAACTGTTTTTAGTTGTCTATTCTCAGTTTTTTGAAATCGTTTTGTTTTAGTGCTAATTCATTTTCAATTTTGTAATTCCATGTGGTGGTCCGGTGGTGGCTGGTGGTGGTCTGGTGGTGGTCCGGTGGTGGCTGGTGGTGGTCCGGTGGTGGTTGGTGGTGGTCCGGTGGTGGTCAGTGGTGGTCCGGTGGTGGCTGGTGGTGGTCCGGTGGTGGTCCGGTGGTGGCCGGTGGTGGTCCGGTAGTGGCCGGTGGTGCTCCGGTGGTGGCCGGTTGTGGTCCGGTGGCGGTCCGGTGGTGGTCCGGTGGTGGCCGGTGGTGGTCAGGTGGTGGTCCGGTGGTGGTCCAGTGGTGGCCGATGGTGGTCAGGTGGTGGTCCGGTGGTGGCCGGTGGTAGTTCGGTGGTGGTCCGGTGGTGGCCGGTTGTGGTTCGGTGGTGGCCGGTTGTGTCCCGGTAGTTGGGTATTGAAGATAAATGATAACAAATTTATAGAAACTATGTTTTGTTGATTTCAGAATTATGTTTTCGGTTTCTAAAAACACTTTCAAAGATTATGATTTTGGAAACAAAAACAACTTTTTACCAAACGTGTTTCTGTTTTTTTTCTAAGAAAAAAAACAGAAACCGAAAAACAGAAACGTTACCGAACGCACCCTAAAATATCCAATTTTACTAGTCATCGGACTCATCCGTAGAGGTAAAATGACATCTGTCTCGACTTGACTGTCCCCCAAAAATGCTCCTGGTTTTGACTTTTGAAGGTCACTAGAACGGATATACCATTTCAAACTTGAATCCAGCTTCACCATCCACTAGGGATGGATTAGGTCAGGGCCACCCAGCCCATGACCCGGCCCAGTCGGGCGGTCTGGGACTGGGCGTAGACCCGAACTGGTGGGCTAAGCGGTTGCGGGCTCGGTTCCTATAAAATGTGATCCGGCCCGGCCGGGTCAGGCCTGGGTCCAGGTCACCACGGCTCTATTTTAAAAAAAAAATTGGGCCAAATGACCATTGGGGGTGGGTTGCAGGGGGGTCCGGGCGTTTTGGGGGTGGGGTAAAAAAACCTATAAATACTCCTAATCTTAAACATTTTTCCATATCTCATTCTCCAACTCTTCCTAAATTCTACTCTTAACTCTCTACTCTCTAATTATCTTCATCTTCTCAAATTCTCTTATTCTCGGATATATTATATTTATATATCTACTTTATATTAATTATCTACTTATAAATACATACATTATATTACTTATATTTCTTATCTAATTATATATTACTTATACATTTTTTTTTATAATCCAGGTGTCGGGGCTTACGCTCCCATAATCCTGGAGTCTATGAACTACCCTCCAAAACCCCTAGACAGTTAAGTCCGGATCTGATCACAGTCAGCCTTGTCAGTACTGGCTCCAAAGGACGAATCTACTTATACATTTATTATATCTATTAATATAGTTGGAATTATATCTAATTAATTCGAAGTCATTCTATTACTCCCATTCGAAAGACCGAAACAGGTACGAAATCATTTTATTATTTACACTTGTTTAATTTTGTATTAACATTACTTGATTAGTTAATTAGTTTTCACACGAATTGTTTAATTTTTCATTAAAGTAGTTAATTACTTTATTACATATTTTTATTAATTGCTACATTTGACTCTAGTATAAAAAACTAGTTAATTCTCATTTAACTAGTTAAACTATAATAATTTGATTGTTAGTTAAAAAGATAGGTAGTACAAAAAAGTAGTTTAAAAACTAGTTAAATAGTTAATTTTTCATTAAACTAGTTAAACTATAATAATTTGATTGTTAGTTAAAAAAATAGGTAGTACAAAAAAGTAGTTTAAAAACTAGTTAAATAGTTAGTTTTTCATTAAACTAGTTAAACTATAATAATTTGATTGTTAGTTAAAAAAAATAGGTAGTACAAAAAACTTGTTTAAAAAACTAGTTAAATAGTTAATTTTTCATTAAACTAGTTAAACTATAATAATTTGATTGCTTGTAAAAAAAAATAGGTAGTACAAAAAACTAGTTTAAAAAACTAGTTAAATAGTTAATTTTTCATTAAACTAGTTAAACAATAATAATTTGATTGCTTGTAAAAAACTAGTTAATTGTTAGTTTTGACTATTTATTAAACAACTGTATTGCTATAAATTTTGGTTGAATTCACATTTTTTTACTTCACATTTCACTCGAATTGTATAAATAAATAATAGTTGCAATTTAATATTTGTTACATTTTTTAGATGGATCGTGCTAGATATTCGGTTGATATGGGTAACCTCGAGCGCAACCGAACGAACGAGCTTGCGAGGAAGAGATCCTGCAAAGGTATATCACATATCGGCTCTTCATCTCAAAGCCGAGATGATTTTGATACGGGTTACGCAAGGAGGGATGGGGATGCGATGACCGACGAACAACTAGAACAAGAATTGCACCGACATAATAGCCACTTTTTCCAAGACCAACCGAGGACCATTGACGAAGAAGAGCTCGAGAACGACGATGTGGAGGAAATAATTCCGGAGAGCCACGACGACGACGTGGAGGAGGGTGGCGGCAGCCACGACGCCGACGAGCCTGCCTCATCCCAAACTGGTACGAAAAAAAGTAAATCTGAACTAATGGCTAATAATTTTTCTAAGTGGAAGGACCCGAACACCGGGAATTGGACCGCAAATTGCAATTGGTGCAAGAAAAACTATAGCTTGGGGATTTCCGGCGGACACGGATCCACCACAAGACATCTTAAGTCCAAACACCCGGTGGAGTATGCAAAATTAGGCGGCGGAACGGGGAAGCAAACTCAAATATCGAGGTTTGCAAATAACCAACAAGCTTTTGGTAATTTCTCATACAATGATGCACAAAATTTGACTGGTATGGCTAACTTACTTGTTGAAGAAAATTTGCCTTATTTGTTTTCTGAAAGTCTTGCTTTTCGTGATTATGCACAAACTTATTTAAATCCTCAATATAGAGGTTATAGTTTCAAAACGGTTAAGAAAGAAATTTCAAGGCTTTATGGTGCGGAAAGGTAATCTTACAAAATTATTTTGCAAACTTTGATGGGCGTGTTACTGTATGTTGTGACATATGGGAGGATGCTTATCATAATTTACATTATTTGGGTCTGACTGTACATTATGTTGATAATGATTGGCATATGCATAAACGTGTTCTTGTTTTTCGTGAATTTAATGATCGTCACACCGCTGAACATATTTATATTTTGATTGAGCGTATTTTAATTGAGTATAATTTACTCCCTCCGTCCCGGAAAATTGTTCCCGCACTGACTTGGAACGGATATTTAGGAAAGTTAAAAAAACCTTTGACTTTCCCTAAATGCCCCTGAAATGAAAAAGAAAGGTTCGGATGGGGGGAGCTGCCGCAGGGAGAAAAAATTTACTGCTCATGATCTGAAATGCTTTACACTGTTCATGATATGAAATGCTACAACTACTAATTCAACCTATTCTTTGGTGTTTCCTACACCACAAATTTTTGCCACCCAACATTTCCCTGCATCTCCTTGGCCGTCATCTCCCACTCCTCTTCACTGTCCGGAACCATCAGATCGTCCATGCATGCAGCCGTTGCAGGTAGATCTGAAATGGTTGTCGGATTTATGGATTTTGAATTAGGACAGACGGTTAGAAAGTGGAAGAGCTAGGGTTAGACAGGATTTGAAATCAGGGAAGGAATTACAGTTCAACATATTCAAGAGTGGAACTGTGGAAGGAGAGGAGAGTAAATGGCCGGAAAAGTGTAAGGTGTGACAGGCGGTGGAGGGGAAGATGTAACGAGGAAGATGAGAGAGAGATAGGCCATAGGATAGGAAGGAAGCAGTATGCCAAGGTTGGGGGTAAATGTTTTAGAGGGTATAATGGGTTTTTAGGGTGTAAAATCTTTCCAAATATAGAAAGGGGAACAATTTTCTGGGACAGCCCAAAAAGGAAACAAGGAACAATTTTCAGGGACGGAGGGAGTAATTGATAAGGTGTTTGCTATTGGTTTTGATAATGCTACTAATAATACTGCTGCTATTCCTAGATTGCGTGAATTGTGTGGTTCTACTTCTTTGATGAGTAGATTTTTTTCATCAACGATGTGCATGTCATGTTATAAATTTATGTGTGCAAGATGGTCTAAAAGCGTTGGGAGCATCTTTGGAGGTAGTCAGGGGGGGGGGGGGGGGGGTAGACGTATTTGGGGTAATGGACAACTTAAAAAAATGGCATGATTATTTGATAGAAAGAGGTGAGAAATATGTGGCTTTTCCTAAAGATTTGTCTATTCGTTGGAATAGTACTTATAAGTTAATTGCAGTTCTTCTTAGATATAAACAACATTTTCCAGCTTTTATGAAACGATATGATAACTATATTATAAACTCAGCTGAGATTGACACCTATGAAAAAATTTGCAATGCTTTGATATATTTTAATAATGCATCTGAAACTTTTAGTCATGTTTATAAACCTACCTCAGACCAATTTATTCGTGAAGCTGTTAATCTCGCCGATGCTTTTTCAAATTTTGAGAATGCTGATTATGTGAGTTATTTTGCTAGTTT